CCTTTGACCATTTCAAAACCCTATCTAGATCAACTTGAAGTGATAGTGAGTCCTCCTCCGAATTAATTTCCCTACCGATTTTCGTATCATCGGCAAATTTGCAAATGTTGCTACTCAAACCTGAATCTAAATCATTTATATATATTATAAACAACAGAGGTCCCAGGACAGAGCCTTGAGGCACTCCACTTACAACATTTTCCCACTCTGACTTGATTCCATTTATACTAACTCTCTGTTTCCTTTGGTATAGCCATGCCCTAATCCAGCTTAATATAGCACCCCCAATACCATGAGACTCTATTTTTTTAATCAGTCTTTCATGTGGCACTGTATCAAAAGCTTTGCTAAAGTCAAGGTATACAACATCGCAATCCTTACCACTATCAACTGCCTCAACAATGCTAGAATAAAAAGATAACAAATTTGTTAAACATGAACGGCCATTTATAAAACCATGTTGCGACTCAATTATTAATTTATGTTTTTCAAGATGAAGACGAATTTTATTTGCTATTATAGATTCGAGTAACTTTCCCACAATAGACGTTAGGCTAATTGGTCGATAGTTAGACGCAAGTGATCTATCTCCTTTCTTAAAAACTGGTATCACATTAGCAACTTTCCAAAACTCTGGCACTCTGCCTGACTCTATTGATTTATTAAATATGGTTGACAGTGGGTCACAAAGCTCCTCTTTGCATTCTTTAAGCACCCTAGCAAACACTTCATCCGGCCCTGGGGATTTGTTTGGTTTGAGTTTTACTATTTGTTTAAGAACATCCTCCCTGGTAACTGCTAAACTCGTCAACCTGTCCTCGTCCCCACCCACATAGACTTGTTCGGCTGAAGGCATATTGTTAAGTTCCTCTTTAGTAAATACAGATACAAAATATTTATTAAAAATACTACTCATCTCTTCATCACTATCTGTTATTTGACCTGTCTCAGTTTTAATGGACCTATCCTTTCCCTAGTCTTAGTACGATATAACTGAAAAAACCCTTTAGGATTTGTCTTTGCTTGCCCTGCTATGCGAACTTCATAGTTTCTTTTGCTTTCCTTATCTCTTTTTTAACATTTCTAACCAGTTGTACGAATTCCTGTTCTAAAGTGACCTCCCCATTTTTAATCCTTTTGTACCAAGCTCTCTTTTTACCTATAAGGTTCTTCAAATTCTTTGTTATCCACTTTGGGTCATTAGTATACGATCTATTCAATTTGTATGGTATACTACGTTCCTGTGCTTTGTTTAGAATATTCTTAAATAAGTTATATATTGAATCCACATCGAAATCCCCATTTAAGTCACCTATCGCTGGGTTCATGTCTCGCTCCAAGACCGGCCCACACCCCATACCCAAGCCTTTCCAATCAATTTGACCCAAAAAATTTCTTAGGCTATTAAAATCAGCTTTTCGAAAATCTGGCACTTTAACAGGATTTTATCCTACTGGTCTATTCCATTCTATGCTAAATCTGATTTCTTTGTGATCACTGCTCCCTAGCTCACTCCCTATTTCGATGTCATTAATTTGCGTTTCCCTGTTAGTTAACACTAAATCTAAAATATTATTTTCCCGTGTTGGTTCCTTAATGTGTTGCGTAAGAAAGCAATCGTCAATTAATTCTAGAAAATCTTCTGCTTCACTATTCCCTGTTTTGTTCAACCAGTTTATTCCGCTAAAATTAAAGTCACCCATGACATAAATACTGTTAGATCTAGATGCTCTAGATATTTCATCCCATAGATGCTTTGCTTCCATTCTGTCTAAATTTGGTGGCCTATATATTACTCCTATTATAATATTATTAGCTTTTTCGTTTAATTCAATCCAAATAGTTTCTGTGTGTGGCTCTGTTTTGATTCCCTCTTTGAGACTACATTTCAAATTGTCCCTAACATATATGGCTACTCCACCTCCTCGTCTAATATATCTATCTGTGTGAAATAGTTTAAATCCATATATTTGATATTCAGCTAATAGTTCTCTATTTTCTACATTCATCCACGTTTCGGTAAGTGCAATAATATCTATTTTTTCTGTGCAGACAAGAGCATTTAATTCGTTAATTTTATTTCTTAGACTTCTACTGTTAGTGTAATATACCCTAAGTGAATTGTTATTTTGCGGACCTTCTCTTTCCCTGGTCGTTTTGCCAATTCCTTTCTCCCACAAACACATACTTTTATTACCTCCTTCCTCCAAATCAATTCCCATACCTCTATCTACTAACAGTTTAAACCCAAACTCTAGAGTTTGTAACTCTATCATCATTACCTAACCTCAGAACTTTACATTTATCAGCATTAAACTGCATCTGCCAATCCTTTGACCATTTCAAAACCCTATCTAGATCAACTTGAAGTGATAGTGAGTCCTCCTCCGAATTAATTTCCCTACCGATTTTCGTATCATCGGCAAATTTGCAAATGTTGCTACTCAAACCTGAATCTAAATCATTTATATATATTATAAACAACAGAGGTCCCAGGACAGAGCCTTGAGGCACTCCACTTACAACATTTTCCCACTCTGACTTGATTCCATTTATACTAACTCTCTGTTTCCTTTGGTATAGCCATGCCCTAATCCAGCTTAATATAGCACCCCCAATACCATGAGACTCTATTTTTTTAATCAGTCTTTCATGTGGCACTGTATCAAAAGCTTTGCTAAAGTCAAGGTATACAACATCGCAATCCTTACCACTATCAACTGCCTCAACAATGCTAGAATAAAAAGATAACAAATTTGTTAAACATGAACGGCCATTTATAAAACCATGTTGCGACTCAATTATTAATTTATGTTTTTCAAGATGAAGACGAATTTTATTTGCTATTATAGATTCGAGTAACTTTCCCACAATAGACGTTAGGCTAATTGGTCGATAGTTAGACGCAAGTGATCTATCTCCTTTCTTAAAAACTGGTATCACATTAGCAACTTTCCAAAACTCTGGCACTCTGCCTGACTCTATTGATTTATTAAATATGGTTGACAGTGGGTCACAAAGCTCCTCTTTGCATTCTTTAAGCACCCTAGCAAACACTTCATCCGGCCCTGGGGATTTGTTTGGTTTGAGTTTTACTATTTGTTTAAGAACATCCTCCCTGGTAACTGCTAAACTCGTCAACCTGTCCTCGTCCCCACCCACATAGACTTGTTCGGCTGAAGGCATATTGTTAAGTTCCTCTTGAGTAAATACAGATACAAAATATTTATTAAAAATACTACTCATCTCTTCATCACTATCTGTTATTTGACCTGTCTCAGTTTTTAATGGACCTATCCTTTCCCTAGTCTTAGTACGATATAACTGAAAAAACCCTTTAGGATTTGTCTTTGCTTGCCCTGCTATGCGAACTTCATAGTTTCTTTTTGCTTTCCTTATCTCTTTTTTAACATTTCTAACCAGTTGTACGAATTCCTGTTCTAAAGTGACCTCCCCATTTTTAATCCTTTTGTACCAAGCTCTCTTTTTACCTATAAGGTTCTTCAAATTCTTTGTTATCCACTTTGGGTCATTAGTATACGATCTATTCAATTTGTATGGTATACTACGTTCCTGTGCTTTGTTTAGAATATTCTTAAATAAGTTATATATTGAATCCACATCGAAATCCCCATTTAAGTCACCTATCGCTGGGTTCATGTCTCGCTCCAAGACCGGCCCACACCCCATACCCAAGCCATTCCAATCAATTTGACCCAAAAAATTTCTTAGATATAAATTGGATAAGTTTAGATTTAGGAAAGACTTGGGTAAATACTGGTTCGGTAACAGGGTTGTTGGTTTGTGGAACCAATTACCGCGTAACGTGGTGGAGGTGGGGTCCCTCGATTGTTTCAAGCGTGAGTTGGACAAGTATATGAGGGGGATTGGGTGGTTATAAATAGGAGCTGCCTCGTATGGGCCAATAGGCCTTCTGCAGTTACCTTTGTTCTTATGTTCTTATATGACAAAGAGTGCTGGGAAGACGGGACACCACGAGCGTAGCTCTCATCCTGTAACGACACTTAGGTGATTACACTTAGGTAACTAGTGGTAACTGTCCTAATAGGACGTCGCATTTTGACGTATACTCTACCCAAGGCCAAAAATTGTCGTACTAGAAAATGATAGTGGCTCGCGAAATTGACATTTCGTTTTCTGTTTTGGGTCCTCTGGTAGGTTAGGATGAGGGCACTTTAATACGACAGTTTCTTGACTTTGGGGAATCCTAAGGGGACGGGCTGAGCAAATAACTGTATGGCTGATCTCCTATGTATAAAAATATATTTAAAATTATAATTTCCATTAAAAAAAGAGGTTAAAGATATAAGTATATACTCACCACTGGCTTAAGGGATATATATGATAATTGCATTTTTCATTTACTGTGAATCCTGCCTTTTTTTATAGTAGCCTCTTGTCGACAGACTGATGTAGGTAAGGGAAATTGAAATTGAATTAAGTTTATTGAGGTAAAATACACACAAAGGTATGAGGTAGCTCAAGCTATTCTCACCCCGTTCAGTACATCGTGTTAATACATACATAGACACACATCACAAACAATAAACATATTACCAAACATTCTGAGAGATAAACATCTACATATCCTTAGGTAAGGAAAGTCGGCAAATTGGATCCGTAACTTTGGGATAAGGATTGGCTCTTGAGGATCGGGCTAGTCGGGCCTGTGCAGGAATAATTAGTTCTAACAATTGGCTAATTCGTTAAGTGTTTAATGTCATTCCATCCTTCCCAGGGGCGATAGGTTTCCCAATTTTAATTATTATTAATACTTCATCCCGAGTAATGTCTGTGCAAATGCCATCACAAATGTTTCTTGCTGTGACTTTAAAATTTCTTCTGAGATCTTTCCATGAATCATCCAATGACTGTCTCGTTAAGCCGGGCAAATAATTAATTTCAGCAGCTTCTGACCATCTACAAAATCATTTCAAATCTCCGTACGGGTGAGGATGCGCAATACAGTAAGTACTTACCCCTTTGTTCCCAGCATTGTTGACATCTTGCCAGATTTCATTGAAGTCTGTCATTCCCAATCTTCTCTGCGAACTCATGCAATACTCGTTTATTTCATTTCATTTCTTTCTACATAGCCTCGCAACTGTCAATGGAGCATTCTTATAGTCTTATGTTGTTATATAGAAACAGTCAAGAGATCTGTAATGATGAAGTAATCCATTAAAACTTGAACTCGATGATCTGGCGGTGGGTGAACAACATAACATTGAAATACGATGTAGATTCCAATTATATATTTGAAATATTCTTATATAGAGACAGGCATTTTTACCACAGTTGACTACTTCCTGTAATCCTGCTAATTCAGGAGTTCAGCCTGCGTTGAAGAGACAGTTCAGTGGCGTCCAATAACAGTACTGTATCTATAATGACAATGTCACTGTACTACTGCCAAATCAAGACTCTACATCCTGCCTTTCTATCCCTAGAAACAATAGAATATACATGTAGAATAATATACATGTAGAGTGTTTTCTGTGGGGTAATTTTCTAATTATACTATCATATGTTGCCCTCAGCTCTTCTATCTCATACATACTTTTTTATTTTGCAGGGGGGAATAATTACTACATCTACGTTACAATCCTCCCATGGTGGTGTGAATGGTCTATTTGCCAAAGCAATAAATACATTCTGGAATATCATACTTCATAACATTAGAACAAAGGGTACTCATATATGCTCTCTTAGTATACTTTAACACATATTGTTCATTACTTCCCGCCTGTTGAACTGAAAGGATTAATTCATTATCTCCTCCATCTCTCATTAATCTAATGGCAGAGGCTACATTTATCTCTGAAATTCTATCCCCAACTTGCTGAGGTCGAATAAGTACATAAGAACAAAGGTAACTGCAGAAGGCCTATTGTCCCATACGAGGCAGCTCCTATTTATAAATCCCAATCCCACTCATAACACGGACCCTAAATGAATAACCTACAACTTATTATTTGTAGACCATATTATACCAGGTAACATAATAGACGTATCAGGTAATACCAGGCAAATCAGACTTTGAGATCACTTGATTGTGTCAAGTATAGGTAAGACATATATCAATGAGTTTGAGTGGATATAAACAGGAGCTGCTCGTATGGGCTAATAGGCCATTTGCAATTTCCTTAATTCTTATGTTCTTATGATCAGCATAAACCAGCAATCAGAACAATAACAAACTCCAGTCCCAGACATCACTCAGTACCCCTGAAGCAATCCCTGAATATGTTAAATATTAAGTCACTTCACATACTCTCAAGTGTGTTCTGAGATATACAATTGAATTGCTCTGCTAATCCGAATCTCAAACGCCTACTATTCTGTAGTATATCCGTAGTATATCCTATTCTATTCTGTATAAATTGATACTATTCTAGTATCTATATACTATGATATACTATTCTGTAGTATATCCGTTATTCTGCCTACTCAGTAGGCAGAATAACGTTAATTCAACATTGAATCAGCGTTACACTTGGATATTGTAGCTACTGAGTTCTTAAGGACTTTAACACGAGAAATGTGTCTCTTAGGCATCACACGAGAAACAAATATCAGATATTCCTAGAGTAAGACTGAAACAAGGCAGAAATACTATGTAAATTAAAAGTAGCAAACTATGGAATGACCTTCCAAATGTGTTAAGAAGTGTCTCTCTTAGCCAGTTTAAAAGAGACACTAAGAAATATCTAAGATCATGTAACAAATTTCAAAACAATCTGATTTGCGAAAATCTTACACCAATTTTTCTATTCATGCTATATTAAACTTAATTTATTTATACTAGTCTTCCATAAATCACTCTACTATATGCTTTCTATAAGAAGACAAAATCGCTGCAAGACAACCAAGATTGACCATTAAAATCTTGGAAGAAAGATTAGCAGATGCAGCTTAATGCTGAAAAATGTAGGCTTCTGAGCTTAGGTAATATTAATAGTTACCGTATCTCAGCTGGAAAAGTTTGAAATTGCGAAATCTGAATGCGAGAAAGTTAATCTGGAAATCATGATAAAAAAAGGATATAAAGAAAAAAAAGCATAAATGAACGGAATAAATCCAGATAATGGAATATATATATAGAAATGTTAGCAACAATTTAAGACTGCTAAACACAGGGGTATTTACACATATACACCGATTGATTGATGAAGATTAAGCCACCCAAGAGGTGGCACGGGCATGAATAGCCCGTAAACAAATACATATACACCGAATAATGTAACGATTCCGGGTGTATATATATATATATATATATATATATATATATATATATATATATATATATTTAAACCTTTAGTCCTTTACTTCGTTTAGGGAAATGAACTATCCGGATGATGTTTTAGATTTAGCTATTCAGAACGAAATGTCCATGTAGCACGGGCTAAAGTGAGCCCGTAAGAACTGTCATGAGAGCGCCAAGCCATTACGACTATAGCACTTGTAAAAGATCAGGATAAGGATTTGCGAGGGACGGGGGATTACGTTCAGGACTCACTTAGATTATGCAGTTTAGTTTAAATCACCATAGTATTTAATTTAATAGATATATATTTACTCGAGCGTACAGAGAAAAGGATGACCGCGTTAATCCCAGGAATTATAGAAACCTCACTAATGAAGAGAACATAAGAACATAAGAACATAAGAACAAAGGTAACTGCAGAAGGCCTATTGGCCCATACGAGGCAGCTCCTATTCTATAACCACCCAATCCCACTCATATACTTGTCCAACCCGCGCTTGAAACAATCGAGGGACCCCACCTCCACCACGTTACGCGGCAATTGGTTCCACAAATCTACAACCCTGTTACTGAACCAGTATTTACCCAAGTCTTTCCTAAATCTAAACTTATCCAATTTATACCCATTGTTTCGTGTTCTGTCCCGTGTTGATACTTTTAATACCCCATTAATATCCCCCTTGTTATGTCCATTCACCCACTTGTAAACCTCTATCATGTCGCCCCTAACTCTTCGCCTTTCCAGTGAATGCAACTTAAGCTTTGTTAATCTTTCTTCATATGAAAGATTTCTAATTTGGGGAATTAACTTAGTCATCCTACGCTGGACACGTTCAAGTGAATTTATATCCATTCTATAATATGGCGACCAAAACTGAACTGCATAATCTAAATGGGGCCTAACTAGAGCAAGATATAGCTTGAGAACCACACCAGGTGTCTTGTTACTAACGCTGCGATTAATAAATCCAAGTGTCCGATTTGCCTTATTACGAACATTTATGCATTGATCCTTTTGTTTTAAATTCTTACTAATCATAACTCCCAGATCCCTTTCGCAATCCGACTTCGCAATCTCAACACCATCTAGCTCGTATCTTGTAACTCTATCATCATTACCTAACCTCAGAACTTTACATTTATCAGCATTAAACTGCATCTGCCAATCCTTTGACCATTTCAAAACCCTATCTAGATCAACTTGAAGTGATAGTGAGTCCTCCTCCGAATTAATTTCCCTACCGATTTTCGTATCATCGGCAAATTTGCAAATGTTGCTACTCAAACCTGAATCTAAATCATTTATATATATTATAAACAACAGAGGTCCCAGGACAGAGCCTTGAGGCACTCCACTTACAACATTTTCCCACTCTGACTTGATTCCATTTATACTAACTCTCTGTTTCCTTTGGTATAGCCATGCCCTAATCCAGCTTAATATAGCACCCCCAATACCATGAGACTCCATCTTTTTAATCAGTCTTTCATGTGGCACTGTATCAAAAGCTTTGCTAAAGTCAAGGTACACAACATCGCAATCCTTACCACTATCAACTGCCTCAACAATGCTAGAATAAAAAGATAACAAATTTGTCAAACATGAACGGCCATTTATAAAACCATGTTGCGACTCAATTATTAATTTATGTTTTTCAAGATGAAGACGAATTTATTTGCTATTATGGATTCGAGTAACTTTCCCACAATAGACGTTAGGCTAATTGGTCGATAGTTAGACGCAAGTGATCTATCTCCTTTCTTAAAAACTGGTATCACATTAGCAACTTTCCAAAACTCTGGCACTCTGCCTGACTCTATTGATTTATTAAATATGGTTGACAGTGGGTCACAAAGCTCCTCTTTGCATTCTTTAAGCACCCTGGCAAACACTTCATCCGGCCCTGGGGATTTGTTTGGTTTGAGTTTTACTATTTGTTTAAGAACATCCTCCCTGGTAACTGCTAAACTCGTCAACCTGTCCTCGTCCCCACCCACATAGACTTGTTCGGCTGAAGGCATATTGTTAAGTTCCTCTTTAGTAAATACAGATACAAAATATTTATTAAAAATACTACTCATCTCTTCATCACTATCTGTTATTTGACCTGTCTCAGTTTTTAATGGACCTATCCTTTCCCTAGTCTTAGTACGATATAACTGAAAAAACCCTTTAGGATTTGTCTTTGCTTGCCCTGCTATGCGAACTTCATAGTTTCTTTTTGCTTTCCTTATCTCTTTTTTAACATTCTAACCAGTTGTACGAATTCCTGTTCTAAAGTGACCTCCCCATTTTTAATCCTTTTGTACCAAGCTCTCTTTTTACCTATAAGGTTCTTCAAATTCTTTGTTATCCACTTTGGGTCATTAGTATTCGATCTATTCAATTTGTATGGTATACTACGTTCCTGTGCTTTGTTTAGAATATTCTTAAATAAGTTATATATTGAATCCACATCGAAATCCCCATTTAAGTCACCTATCGCTGGGTTCATGTCTCGCTCCAAGACCGGCCCCCACCCCATACCCAAGACTTTCCAATCAATTTGACCCAAAAAATTTCTTAGGCTATTAAAATCAGCTTTTCGAAAATCTGGCACTTTAACAGAATTTTCTCCTACTGGTCTATTCCATTCTATGCTAAATCTGATTTCTTTGTGATCACTGCTCCCTAGCTCACTCCCTATTTCGATGTCATTAATTTGCATTTCCCTGTTAGTTAACACTAAATCTAAAATATTATTTTCCCGTGTTGGTTCCTTAATGTGTTGCGTAAGAAAGCAATCGTCAATTAATTCTAGAAAATCTTCTGCTTCACTATTCCCTGTTTTGTTCAACCAGTTTATTCCGCTAAAATTAAAGTCACCCATGACATAAATACTGTTAGATCTAGATGCTCTAGATATTTCATCCCATAGGTGCTTTGCTTCCATTCTGTCTAAATTTGGTGGCCTATATATTACTCCTATTATAATATTATTTGCTTTTTCGTTTAATTCTATCCAAATAGTTTCTGTGTGTGGCTCTGTTTTGATTCCCTCTTTGAGACTACATTTCAAATTGTCCCTAACATATATGGCTACTCCACCTCCTCGTCTAATATATCTATCTGAGTGAAATAGTTTAAATCCATATATTTGATATTCAGCTAATAGTTCTCTATTTTCTACATTCATCCACGTTTCGGTAAGTGCAATAATATCTATTTTTTCTGTGCAGACAAGAGCATTTAATTCGTTAATTTTATTTCTTAGACTTCTGCTGTTAGTGTAATATACCCTAAGTGAATTGTTATTTTGCGGACCTTCTCTTTCCCTGATCGTTTTGCCAATTCCTTTCTCCCACAAACACATACTTTTATTACCTCCTTCCTCCAAATCAATTCCCATACCTCTATCTACTAACAGTTTAAACCCAAAAACCCTTAATTAAGAAAGTTTTTTTTTTACATTCTCTAAAACGACAAGGAATTAAGTGATATACACATACGTTTTAAATATAGGAACACAAAATAGAACACTAAACAATTAATATATATATAATAAGTTCAGATTCAGGGGTAAACCTATTAGAAAATACTAATATGGAAACATGGTTGTAGATTTTGGGAACAATTAAATTACCTGGTTACATAGGTATTTCTATGTTCCAGGCAGCCGCTGGGGATTGGGTATTGGGTATGTCAAAGGATTGGGTATTACCCCTGGCTCCACCTCACCCTCCCACTGGAGGGAGAGATTATATAAATACCCGTAGCGGCATTAGGCTTCACCAGTGTTACAGCAACCGTGGTTGTTGAAGGAGGTATAGTGCAGTGTTATGCAAGAGGAATATTCTCAGATTCTTCTGTGGATCCAGCGTCTTGGAGTCATGCGAGCATTTACCTTATTCTGTAAGTATAATGTGTGGTTTTCCTCCTAATTTTTGTCCGTGTTTTTATTTATGAAAGCATGATTCGTTGGAGCCGTGATGAAGATTCGAACTTATGCGGTGGGTGTTCCCATGACCCTAGTCACGACATGGTCAATAGAACTAGAACCTGGATATTGTTTGCATTTAGTTTTGATTGGTACAATCACTTAAGTCAGCACCCGTGGCCCGGTGTTTTTCTTTGCGACATGAACAGTTTGTGATTATTTAAAAACGTTATTAAAACTAGTTATATCCAGATCAACAAACCCCCAAATGTGTTTATTTTACAATTTTAAATGCTAAAACTTCAGATATTTACCCATATATATATTCATTATAGCCGTAACTACCTCATAGCATTGAGGATATCAACAGTCAAATCATTCTCATGACCTACGTTAAGTTTCCGACCTGTTATTGCCAGAAATATTTCATTCAGAGTAATAGATTAACAAGTTTTATCTCTAGTTTAGTTCTGTGTTAAACTGTTTCTGAGAATTTTCAATAACTTGCAGGTATTGTGGTCAATATTTGACAGCTATTGTTGTCGATGTCTTGCGGGTATTGCCCTTCGATATCTTGCGGGTATTGCCCTTCGATATCTTGCGGGTATTGCCCTTCGATATCTTGCGGGTATTGCCCTTCGATATCTTGCGGGTATTGCCCTTTGATATCTTGCGGGTATTGCCATCAAAGGGCAATACCCGCAAGATATCGAAGGACAATACCCGCAAGATATCGAAGGTGTCTTGTTACTAACGCTTCGATTAATAAATCCCAGTGTCCTATTTGCCTTATTACGAACATTCATGCATTAAGAACATAAGAACAAAGGTAACTGCAGAAGGCCTATTGGCCCATACGAGGCAGCTCCTATTCTATAACCACCCAATCCCACTCATATACACACTTCTGTAAATGATCCTTTTGATCCTTTTGTTTTAAATTCTTACTTATCATAACTCCCAGATCCCTTTCGCAATCCGACTTCGCAATCTCAACACCATCTAACTCGTATCTTGTAACTATATCATCATTTCCTAGCCTCAAAACTTTACATTTATCAGCATTAAACTGTATCTGCCAATCCTTTGATCATTTCAAAACCCTATTTAGATCAACTTGAAGTGATAGTGAGTCTTCTTCCGTGTTAATTTCCCTGCCGATTTTTGTATCATCGGCAAATTTGCAAATGTTGCTACTCAAATCTGAATTTAAATCATTGATATATCATAAACAACAGAGGTCCCAGGACAGAGCCCTGAGGCACTCTACTTACATTTTCCCTAAAACATCAACATCTAAAATATTATTTTCCCGCGTTGGTTCCTTTATGTGTTGCGTAAGAAAGCAATCGTCAATTAATTCTAGAAAATCTTCTGCTTCACTATTCCCTGTTTTGTTCACCCAGTTTATTCCACTAAAATTAAAGTCACCCATGACATAAATACTGTTAGATCTAGATGCTCTAGATATTTCATCCCATAGATGCTTTGCTTCCATTCTGTCTAAATTTGGTGGCCTATATATAACTTCTATTATACTATTATTGGCTTTTTCGTTTAATTTTATCCAAATAGTTTCTGTGTGTGGCTCAGATTTGATTCCCTCTTTGAGACTACATTTCAAATTGTCCCTAACATATATGGCTACTCCACCTCCTCGTCTAATATATCTATCTGTGTGAAATAGTTTAAATCCATTTGATATTCAGCTAATAGTTCTCTATTTTCTACATTCATCCACGTTTCGGTAAGCGCGATAATATCTATTTTTTCTGTACAGACAAGAACATTTAATTCGTTTATTTTATTTCTTAGACTTCTACTGTTAGTGTAATATACCCTAAGTGAATTGTTATTTTGAGGCCCTACAATTTCCCTCATCATTTTGCCAATTCCTTTCTCCCTCAAACACATACTTTTATTACCTCCTTCCTCCAAATCAATTCCCATACCACTATCTACTAACAGTTTAAACCCAAACAAACACCTCTAACCACTGGTTCCAACGAGTTCGCAACAGCAACAACCCCAGCCCTCGATAGATGCACCCCATCCCGAGCATACATTTCATTTCTTCCATGAAAGTGTCCCCAGTTATCTGTGAAAGATATTGCATTTGATTTGCAATATCTTTCCAGGCGGCAATTGACACCAAGTGCCCTCGACATCCATTCATTTCCCACTCCCTTTCTTGGAAGAATGCCACATATGATCGGGATTCCTCCCTTGCTCCTAACTAATTCTATTGCTGTCTTGAATCTTATTGTCGTCAAACATGCCATTACACGATTAAGGCAGTGTCTGGGATGCTCCCGGACGCAGGTTCGAATCCTCGTTACGGCCCTTGTGGATTTGTTTATTTAAACATGCCATTGTTCATGGCGCACGATAGATACTTGCTTTTCTCAGCTTATCATGTAACTAATTACTTTGTATAGTTGAGTATTTTGACACTCCATATTTCCCCAGGCCTACATATATTCCTGTTTTGGATGATAGAGTTCCAGTTGTCTACAGCATTCACTCGCCGGCAATTCATGGACTCGGTGAGAGGAAATCCCGGTCCTTTCCCATATCACACCCCTATTCCACATGGTAAGGTTGAGATAGAAACAAATTTATGTATGAACAAATCTACAAGGGCCGTGACGAGGATTCGAACCTGCGTCCGGGAGCATCCCAGACACTGCCTTAATCGCAGGTTCGAATCCTCGTCACGGCCCTTGTGGATTTGTTCATTTGATGCATCACGTTAGTGTGATCTCTGTGTAATTTATGTATCGGTATGAAAGTGACTAAAATGGGATAGGTATGAAAGAGCGAGCAGTAGATTATATGTGGTTAATTGGGAGAAGGGGGTGGGAGGTATTTGTAAACAAAAGTGTAAACAATTTGTGTAATAGTGTAAGGTATTAGTAAATTTGTAGTTGTATTTTTGGATGCCTATTTATTCTTGTATTCCTGAATGCCTGTGTATTTGTACGTGTATTCTGCTTGTGTTTATGTATTAATCATTCTGTATGTATGCACTGGTCTTCCCAGATAACTGAATACTGTACTGTATTAGGTTTTTTGAAAGACCATATTTGGAATGGACAGGGAAGCCGGCGGATTGTCAAAGGTCCCCCCACCTATTTTTCCTGAGTATTTTTCCCAACTGGATCTTGAACTTCAATAACGTTTTTAATCGCTTTTATTCTTCGTATCCTAACCTAGCGAGGATTGAGTAAGCACCAATCCTCCTCTCCCAGCAATTCTAGTTTAGGTGTTCTCTAGGGTCGTTAAATTTAACATAAATTTAAACTATTCAAGTGACACCTGAAACCTGAATAACTGAGAATTTACAGAAGTGTGTAAATTTGCCAATGTTATTCGATTGTGAGGATCGAATAACGATAAGATAAGGATCGATAAGATCGTTATTTTAGGATCCTTTAACATTTACGTTTTGTTCTTCAATTCTCTTAGGACCATATGTGGTTGGGTGCATAGATGTCATGATTGGCCGAACGAGGAAAGGAACGCTAATGCGAGTCTACTACCCATCAAGGCTCTCAGACCTCCAGGTAATATATCCATTTTGAGTTATAAAGTGTTAAGTTATTATAAATATTATCATTGTTAAATATAGAATTTATTGTATTTAGAGTTTTGTATTTGTAATATATTTTTTGCCTAATATTAATTTTAATAACTTTTAATTTTAATTTAATTAAAAACTATAACTTTTAATTTTAAATAAATTAAAAACTATAACTTTTAATTTTAAATGAATTAAAAACTATAACTTAATTTTAAACGAATTAAAAACTATAACTTTTAATCTTAATTGAATTAAAAACTATAACTTTTAATATTAAATGAATTAAAAACTATAACTTTTAATTGTAATTGAATTCAAAACAATAATTTTTAAATAAATGTATCTAATTCATATAATTTATAATTCTGATACAGCATGTAAATGTAATAAAAACCTTCATTACTCAATAAAAACCCTTATTAATAATAAAATCCACTCTGTGCAGAGCCATTCTGAGCACTGGACACCATGGTATCTGGGAAAGGAATACACGCATGGCTTGTCAACATTCATCGCGCCCTCTATACCAACCATTTTCGATATTTATTTCGACTTGCAAATGCGTAAGTATATAGTTTTTGAGTTTTCTGTGCGTTTTCTCTAGGATCATTGCCATTACTGGTCGGTACAGCTAGGGTACTAACTTTCCAGGTCGGCGTTCGATTCCCGATGGTGCAAGTGGTTACACTGATTTATCGTTTTCTCTTCTTATCTTATCTTATTTGTTTATTTATTTATATACAAGAAAGTACATTGGGTTTGAGAGAATACATAGCATAGTATTTACAATTTTGTAAAGCCACTAGTACGCGCAGTGTTTCGGGCAGGTCCTTAATCTAACAGATAATTTTAAGTAGGTCTATCTTAGATAGATCTTATCTTAAGCCCCCCTTAATAGATCTTATCTTAACCCCTTAATAGATCTTATCTTAACTCCCTTAATAGATCTTATCTTAACCCCTTTATCCCTTAAAAGTCCACAGAGTTTTGAGAATATATATCATATTTTCTTGGTAAAATAACCATTTTTGTGTTTCCTTGGGTAGGGACAGCTGCGGGCCTCTGATCCAATGTTTAATTTTGCATTTTAAGATGCCTTTTTGGGAAATGGGCTCTACCCATTAATCAATGCTTTCTTTTTTTTACACAAATTCTTGCTTTTATAATTTATAAATCAAAATTATATATTTTGGCATTATACATTAGTTTAATGTTTCTTTATTAAGCATTCTATAATCATTTTATTTCTCTATTATCCTTTCCAGGTAATATAGCGACCCCTGCAGTGTGGGGCGCACCTGTGGCTGCCAGAAAGTTTATGGTAATTATATTTTCCCACGGCCTGAGCGCAAATCGGTCTATATACAGCACTATTTGCTCGGAGCTCGCCTCGCAGGGATTTATTGTGGCAGCGATCGAACACAGGTAAATAATTGTTTGGACATTGTAAACATAGTAACAAACAATCAGAATTTTCCAGGTAGTTCACTAGAATCACTAGAGTTCACTAGAATGTAGAAGAAATCCCACAGTACTATCACCCATGGTAACAGTACTTTGGAGAGATAAAAGGAAGTACAGCACAGTCCGTAGAATCTCTTCCATAATAACCCTTCACTTGTCAGCATTGAACTGCTGGAAATGGGTATAATGATAAAAATGAAGCCTTAAAGAGCCTACACGGGAATGATTAATCCGTAGCGAAACTGGGTTTTAGTTTTATTTGGGACTCAACTGTTCCAGTTTTATAGAAATAACCTCTCGGATGGGATGGGTAATCCCGGATAATGATAATGTATTTGAGAGATTATTTGATCTGCTCTAAAGGCTGGGGGGGGGATGGGACGGAGGAAGGGCAAGAACTGGATACTGCGAGTGAGTGGGAGATACTGTGATACATAGGAGATACATAGCCTAGGCTGGGTATGGCTATGGTTCCCTCCAGCCTAGGCTACCTAGGCTGGAGGGAACAGTATGTTGACCAGACCACACACTGGAAAGTGAAGGGACGACGACGTTTCGGTTCGTCCTGGACCATTCTCAAGTCGAGTGTGTGGTCTGCACGTGGGAACAGTATATGGAGTCAGTGCAAGAGGAGGGATGACAATGCCCGAAGTCTTAACACGTGGTTGTATGTCAACTGAGCGTGTTAGTAGTAGATGTACTTGCTGTAATGGTAGTAGAAGTATGTGATACTGAAGTAGATACTGAGTAGATGTATGTGATATGGCTGTATTTTTAAGCAATGATTTTTTTCAGGATAATGATTATAAATTATTATACAATGTGACTGATATGTAAAGCTGTGTAGTGTTATCTTCATATGTACAGTGTTACTTTTATTTTAAGGACAGATTTTATTTAATTTTTTTTCCCAATCGTTTCAGGGACATGTCAGCGAGCGCGAGTTTTATATTAACTCCTTCTGGAGAAAAAGAATTCATAGCATATGAATCTGCGGGAAAAATTAAGGAATATAGTTACCGTAATCAGCAGGTACGGTTCTCTTTGTTCAAATTTAAGCGATTTATTACTCATTAACAGAACTTTTTGTCTTCATCGTGAAGTGCTTCTTCAAACATGTTCTATTATGTTATCTCTGCCAACTATAACTCTTTTAATGTTATCTGTCTAATTAGCATGTGTTACTCTAACTAGAAATATTATTATTTCCCTGTCAATTAACTTATCACTACGCAGTGTTTATCGTTGCTTCCGAACGAAAACATTAGCCTACATTACCTTCACACACAGATCACACTAACGTGTTGCATCAAATGAACAAATCCACAAGGGCAGTGACGAGGAATCGAACCTGCGTCTGGGAGCATCCCAGACACTGCCTTAATCGACTGAGCTACGACATAGTTAAAAGGGTAGAAGTTCAGTAGAACTTCGGTTTCAACCGAAGGGTCGAAGTTCAGTAGAACTTCGGTTTCAACCCTTTTAACCCTGTCGTAGCTCAATCGATTAAGGCAGTGTCTGGGATGCTCCCAGACGCAGGTTCGAATCCTCGTCACTGCCCTTGTGGATTTGTTTCTTCATTACCTTCATTATTAGTAATGTGATAAACCGAACTTTCATTGTCATCCCTTTCCTTGTAGATCTCTATGTAATGTATTGGTTCTTGTTTTAGCTAAAAATTCGTGTTGCGGAAAGTATGCTGGCGTTAGATGCTCTAGAGAAGATTAATGATGGTACAGCAATAAACGAGCTGGCTTCAGATTTCAACTTGCACCAGCTGCGGGGTCGTCTTGACCTGTCCCATCCAGTCATGGCCGGCCATTCGTTTGGAGGAGTAACTGCCATTGCTACACTGGCCAGTGACCAGCGATTCAAGTAAGCAGAAGGTTATTGTTGTATGAATGTTGTCAAATGTATCTTTTTGTTTAGAATAATTAAGGTTATATTTGTAAAATTTGTAAATCATGACTGGGATATATATATATATATATATATATATATATATATATATATATATATATATATATATATATATATATATATATATATATATATATATATATATATATATATATAAGCCTATACTTGCATAAACCACAAGTGAAGATTTCATCAACATGGTGGGTGTTGTCCAAAGATGATATATACGTGTATATATATATATATATATATATATATATATATTATATATATATATATATATATATAGATATCCTGATACAATACCTGCAGTTCTCAGCATACATTTTCATTTTTTACTGAACTTTCTTGCGAGTATTGTATGTACAATATACGTGATCTTCTTTGATTTTTAAGGAAGCTCATGCTCATTTTTATTTTCAGAGTTGGAGTGGCACTGGATCCATGGATGTTCCCCGTCAAGGATGAACTTCATGAAATTAGCGTAAAACTCAGGCAGCCTCTGCTGTGTATATCGACAGAGAAGTTTCAAACGCCTGCAAACCTTGAGGCTATGGCTAAATTAAACCCCGCCACCACAACATATCTCACCATTAAGTATGTCATACTTTGTGTTGTGATAATTTGTTGAATCAGTCATCAGTAAGAATCCTTACCTTAATATTTTATTTTAATCATTTTTTTATTCAAAAGAATGTGTGCACAAAGAGCATAAGAGTATGTACAATTGTAAGGTCAGGAGTTACGCATACTAAATGAAGCCATTATTACGCAAAACGTTTCGGGCAGCGCCTATTATGTAATTATATTATGTAATTGGTACTTATTAATCATTTTTTTCTCTCTCTCAGAGGAACTGTCCACCAAAATCAATGTGACACTCCATTCGTGGTCGGCCACATCGGGAGAATACTTATCGGCGCCACCTCCTCTCTCGACCCCCATATAGCAATGGATATCAACAATAGGTTGATGTTAAATTTCATTTCGAATCACATTGGTAAGTATATTGTCACATAGTGCACCGATGCACATTTATTTGATTTTGTAGCCGGATTTGTTGGGGGGGAAAAATTCCTATACTTGCGATACTTTGAGTTAAAAATGCATGATTTGTCTTGTGTTAATATGAAAGCTCACTATGAGCTCTTAGTCAAGATTCAATGTTTCTGATTCTGTGGGCGTCTTTGCATGATATCCGAAATGTTTTGTAAATGTATACTGTCTCGTAGAGTTTCTCAAGATACATAACAGTGAACAAAATACAGGGTACATTTAAATAATACAATATTGCAGTAATGTATATTGGTTTCTGATTTTTCACACCATCTTTTCAGTTTGGTTTCTTAGGGGAATTTAAGTGCAAAATATACTATTAAACATAAAGGGGTTCATTAAGCTTTCTCACAGTACTAAAGTACTTCTTCCTTTACAGGTGAACAGGGTGAGACGGTCAACAAGTATATACCTTACCTGGAGACCCACAAAGACAAACTGGTGCCTGGATTGTACGGCAGGGGAAAAACCATGTATGGTTGGGATCCAGAACGTAAGTCTTTCTGGCTGCCGGGCTTGGTGAAAAACCCCGAGAGTGGAATCCGACACTAAAGCCAGCAATAATACCGGAAGGCAAAGTTGCTAATTTGTACATTAAGGTAATTTGGCTTATCGAAACGCCAAAATTTGGCTTTTTTTTTTTTTTTAAAAAAAAAAAAAAAAATCAGCATCGGTATCCTCTCAGCGAGAATCGGAACTATTACCGAAACGAAAGTGGACTACAGTACAGGAAAAATTTAGTTTCCTGCAAGAAATGTTGGATCGACTATGATTTGTAGTGGATGTGAGTGGATGTAGTAAACCTGTGAGCCACATTTATTCTATTCTTTATTTTATCCTCGTAATTTTATTTTATGCCCCAGAAGTGTGCCAGTGCAAACTGATCAGATGACCAGATGAAGAGACGACGACATTTCAGTCCGTCCTGGACCATTATCAAGTCCAGTAATCATGGCCTGTATGTGATATTGAGATTTTGTTAGCATCATGTAGCAAGCTCTGGGTACGTTTTGTAATCCTTCGGTTAACCTAAAGTAGCTGCATAAATGCAGTTTTACCTTGTACAATAATTAATAGTTGTACGATAATTAAAAAGTAAATGTGAGATGTTCTTGCTCATTTCGAAACTAACTGCAAGAGTTGCCAGGAGACTATAACATAAATTATAGTTATTAACAATAGCTCAGTTGAAGATAGATATTGAAGTATATAATAGTTGTAAAATGCTAGTCTATAATTTTGAGAGTTAAGAACCATAAAGTTGTATTTATTGAACATGCCTTAATTAAAGCATGTTCATATTGTTCGTACTTTCTCTTACGTTCCCTTACTATCCTCTTCTTATTCCTATTACTATCTCCTCTCATTCGGTGGTTTTAATAGCTGCCTCGTATGGGCCAATAGGCCCTCTGCAGTTCTTATTCCTATTACTATCTCCTCTCATTCGGTGGTTTTAATAGCTGCCTCGTATGGGCCAATAGGCCCTCTGCAGTTCTTATTCATACTACTATCTCCTCTACTACATCTTACTTTGCTCCTCACCGCTCTTGCCTATTTATTTATTGCCTGCATCTACTTCCTCATCACAATCGACTTGAGAATGGTCCAGGACGGACCGAAACGTCGTCGTCCCTTCACCTTCTAGTGTGTGGTCTGGTCATCATATTTTAGGGTTTTGTCACGTAAATAAAAATTACGTCTTTACCCATTGGAAGATTCTCGTCTCACTTAAGGGACCCAAACACCAAAAAATAAAATATGCTCAATTTCAATCAAACTTTATTTGCTAGTTGTATATGAAAAGGGCTTCAACTGGTTAAAGTCTCAGCATCGTAGCATAAATAGGAAGGGGGGAAAAACTAAAAAAAAATCTATTATTCAACAAATTTTCAACACTTTTCAAAATGCCTGGATAAATACGTGTCAACTAAAATCATTTCTATGACCCTCAGCTATCACATTAGCTGAGGGTCATATTATAAAGGATTTTCACTAGCAATTTTATATAAAAAAAATTGTGTAGTGCAATTATACAAATTTTTCAAAGTTTTCCCCAAGAAATATGCAATATAATATATATACTGATATTATAAATCATATATATAATCAGTATATATATATACTGATATTATAAATATTTCTAGAATCAATAAATGGACATAGGAATAAAGTGTTTAATGGGAATTGTAGAAGCACAAATTATTCAACAAATTGATTAATAAATGAGAGTCCACGCATCATGAAGTTGTAAATTACCTACTTGAGTAAAATAAGTTTAAAGTTTGGACACCTGAGGCTAAGGCTGACGTCGACCGAGTAAAATCTACAAGGAACTGGAGAGAAGCCTTCAAATGTTAGCTACATAAATTGAGAAGTCAGCACCACTAACTATTTAATAAATATTAACATAGCCAAGGATTTACTCCTAAAATATATTATTTTTGAAATGTTAAATTGGATTCTTGTACTGTGATTTGTGTATTTGTACTCACTGAATTTGTGAGTTCCTTGACGGACTTAAAGAAGAGGGGGGGGGGCAGAAATAGCCTAAGCTACTCTATCCCTTTGAGATAGAATAGCATCCATATCAGAAGATATTTAGAAAAATTGTATAACTCCCTTTCCATAAAACTATATTACAAAATCCACTATGAGCTCTTTTTAATGGCAAAATTTAGCCATTCTGTGTAACAACTTATAATCTCATACATTTAATAATCATAGTAATCGAAATATTCATATCTTTTATATACAAGAGATGAAACAGGAAGCCATAAGCTAGATCTGTGTGTCGCTCCTGAGGACGTCAACAAGGAGACGAACTTAGCAAATACCTTCCTGTGATTGGCTGTTGCTGGGAATGCCAACACTCTTTCTATAAATTATATGCAAACTAAGAAATAAGTCTTTTTGCACAACAATCTCTTTATTTCAAACACAACTTCTTCGTTATGTACAAGACAGAAATTTCCATCTAACTGAATAATCGAGTTCAATAAGAGAACGGAGCATTGTATCATCAATATTATTTGCGTGAGGCAACCCCCACTGATGACGTCACAAGTCAGGTAGCCAGCCCATGTTTCTGCAACACTCGTTACGTCCTGCAGTATTTAATTATCACTTTATTAATGCTTATAAATACTTAACCCTACACTTTTTAGGTCGATTAAAGTTGAAACAGAATATCATAGGCAAGGATGGTGTGCTGAATATAGACGATTTATTAAGTGGATGGAGTCTTTAGCTGATCCCTTCCTGTGATTGGCTGTTGTGTGAATAAGCTCCGCCCCATACCATCTAGGGGCGGAGCTTGGAACCTCCTACCCGAGCACAACAACCCGCCTTATGGGTTGCTGTTTGGCTATTTATAGTGCGTTGGAAAAAAAAGAGATGTCGCTAGTTGTATTTTGTGGGGTAATTTGTTATAAGTGTAATTTGATGTCAACAGATGGCGTAAGCTGTACCTTATGGCTACTGTTGACCAGCCAGTTGATAGTGTTCTCTTTTGCCGACAGATGGCATCAGCTGTATCATTATTACTTCCGAATTCCCTTTAAACACTGATCCACAAATCCCGTAGCTTATGTTAAATTTTATACTATTCTGGTATTAGGTAACAATTACTTTTCTTTTATCTGCTGTTAAGAATATCATTATATCAATTAAAACAACAAATGATGCATAAAATATTAGCATTTCACACTAAAAATACTTTGATATATTGAAATTTGGTAATAAATTCCAATCTAGGAATCTCTTATGACGAAACTGTACTGTGTTTGCTTTAGCCGGGTATACTGTATATAACAGATAATAATAAATCATTTTGTAGGGGACAGGCAGCCAGTGTATATATACATGTTAGGCTTATACCAAGGTCCCACAAAGATGGAACTATGGAGTAAGACTGGGTGCTGCCGGGGCTGAACTTTATCACCCTTACAAGCACAATTTTTTGTTAAATCTTCACAAGGAAGAACAACTGTAAATGTTGGAATAGTTTATTACAACATACAAGCTAAAGAAACCAGTTCAGAAACTGAGGAAATAATGCTGCCGAAAAAAAAACATTCAAAAGTCCACTCATGCAGAGTGGTAGACATTCTGGCCAAAACAGGAATTTCACACTGATCTTAATGCTGATATGTTGATGTGATTATCATAATATAAAGATGTTAAGGCAGGCTGGTCTAGTTCATTTATTATGCACCCCATACCCATCTTGTGGGCGGTAGTGGAAAGGGTTACAGAGGCACATAATGGGCTCAGGGACTGAACCCCACAATTTATTTAGCTAAGCAAGTTACAATCTTGATGAGCTAGTTACAAAATTCAATAGACATCGTCACATTAGGAAAGCCTTTTTATTCATTAAATTGTGTAAGGACAAATTAAAAGAACCTAACTTAATTTGTGTTGCTTATGTGGCCCCAAAAAAATGAAGTGATTTGATAAAATAACTATGCCCAAGATTACCATCATAGTGCCGTCGGGATGATGGGCAAATAGCCTCGGCTACCATCATCTTTTGTACGGTCGTGATGGTGGAGTGGTTAAGGTCTCGTGTACACCAGTTGCATAGTGCTCCTGGCAGTATGGGTTCGAGTCACTTCTGGGGGTATGGAGTTTTCAGTTGCATATATGCCTGGGGATCATTCAGGCTTGACAAACAGCATTGTTTAAAAATAACAGACATGTTTTGACGTTATAGGAGTAAGGAAGGTTACAGGGAGTTAATTAGGTAGTGCTTAGTTTTTATCTTAAACTGGTTGAGAGAGGTATAGTCTTTAACATGATTGGGAAGGTCATTCCACATCCTGGGTCCCTTGATTTGTAGAGCATTTCTAGTTTGATTAAGTCGTACTCTTGGAATATCAAAATGGTATTTGTTTTTGGTGTGGTGCTCATGGGTTCTGTTATAACCTTCTAAGAAGCTTTAAGGTCAGGACTGACATTACAATTCAGAGTTTTAAATATATAGAGTACACATGTGAGGTTGTGCAATCACTTAATATCTAACATATTCAGAGATTTGAGTAGGGGTCCTGAGTGATGTCTGGGGCTAGAGTTTGATATTGTTCTAATAGAAACTTTGTGTTGGGTAATTTGAGGACGTATATGATTTTGGGTAGTAGGACCCCAAGCACAAATACCATAGTTGAAATAAGGATAGATGAGAGAGTAATAGAGCGTCACCAGGGCAGGGCGGGGTACATAATATCTGATCTTAGAAAGAATGCCAACAGTTTTAGAAACTTTTTTTTGCTATATTTAGGATGTGTCCCTGGAAATTCAGCTAGTTATCGATGAGGACACCAAGGAATTTACCGTCAACTTTACTACTGATTTGTATATTGTTTATTCTTAGATTAATGTCATTTGAGGATTTATTATCAAACAAAATGTAGAAAATTTTGTCAATGTTAAGGGTGAGTTTGTTAGCAGTTAGCCAAAGATGGACTTTATTTAATTCAATATTCACAGTGACATTTAGAGCAAGCAGGTCAGGACTGGAGAAAACGAAAGTTGTGTCATCAGTAAATAAGATTGGTTTGAGGTGTTGAGAGGCATTTGGAAGGTCATTAATGTAGATGAGAAAGAGGAGGGGGCCAAGTATGCTGCCCTGTGGAACACCATCA